TATTCAGTATAATTATTTTCAGATCAACCCTGTTGTCCTATATATCAACAGTTCGTTTTTTTTTTATGCCTACACTTTTAGTCACACAAATAAAACTCATCTGGAGGTTCCCACCCCAAATCACAAAGATGACAGTTGTGCTGGCTCAGGGCCAAGCCTTTAAAGAAAGGCTTGCAGTCCTGAGCAATATCCTAGTGAACTGCACCAACGGTTTGAAAACCTTTTTAAGTCCACGTGTAGTGAAGTGAATTTGCACAGTATCTTTCGGCTTCTCCTTCCTTCAGAGCCTTTTTCTTCCCAGTTCACTGACACTAGAGAGCACAGAACAATGCCCAGAGGGGGAAAAAAAAAAGTACTCCCACCACACTCCCCAACTCCCTCCCTCAAATGGGTGCAAGATTGAATCAAAAGGATCATTATGCTAGAGGTGGAGTAAGCCAGGGAAGAAAGCAGCTATCACAGAAGGCTAGCACCCACAAGCATGGGACTCCATGAAACAGAAGCTAGGAAGCTGAGGAAAGTAGTAGGTACTGGGCTGATGCAGTTTGCTCCCAGAACAAAGCCAGTTAAACTACTCTATCCACTCAGGATTTCACCATCAAGACAAAGTGCTCAAAATCAAGGGGGGTTGGGGGGAGGGGGGTTGTGAGAAAAGGAGGAACAAAAATCAATGTACTTCTAAAAAAAAATATCTTGCTGGCTTTTGCTGTGTGGAGAATGGATTAAGAAGGGCATGAAATTTGGGAGGGAAAGAAGGAAACAGTTTCATCATATTCTGGGAAGCCCTTCTTAGGCCTCCGGGTGTGGAACTATGTGTCATTTCAGGAGAGGCTTTCAAATCCCACCACCTTTGATCGCTAGATAAAATGGAGTTTTCCAAACTCAGCTCAGGATGGCTGACTGGGTGCTTCCAGCAGGTTCTGCTGGGTCAAGCGAGGCCCTGGGGGTTGGGAATCAAAACCAGTTTGAATTGCCCAAATAAGACCTATTCATTCTTTGTGGCATCTGCTCATGACTTTCCTATTTGTGTGTGAGCAACCAGGAACCTCATTTTACCTTCAGGCCAGTATTTTCCCAGGGGCCCAGGGCCTGTGGAGACCTTATTACTTTCTGAATCAGGAACCCAACACGGAACTGCCCTCAGGGTAGGGGTGAGGAAACAACTCTTCCAGTCACTGACTGTAGGGGTGCACGTTTCCTGGAGGGGAGGTCAGAAGCCGAGACTCTTGCTTTGGACTTGTTAGGTCAGATGCTGGGGGACATTAGTCAAATCACACCATCTCTTGAGTCAGGTCCTCCTTCATAAACCAGAATGGGTGAGGAGAGCAACAGCTACCTTCACCTCCTCAGAAGGACTAAGCCTTCACCTCCTCAGTGATGACCGTGAATACCACACTTGCATAGGATGCCCTTTCAGGCTGAGTGTCTACTGAGATATCAGGTGCGGGACTCATGCTCTGCGTGCAGAAGAAAAGATTTTTAAAGGCCATACGTATTAATATTTAATTAATCATGGAGTATTTATCTATCGGCTTCATCATTTAAAACATAAATTTTTAAATGTTTATGTATCTAAAAAAGGGTGGAAGAAATTTTACTATAATGGGCCATAAAGTAACTATTTTAGATCCTGCTAATTATCTAGTCTCTATCATAACTCTGCCAACGAAAGGCAAAAGGAGTCACAAATTTAAAAAAAAAAAACAGGCAAGCTGTGTGCCAATAAAGCTTTATAAAATAGATTTGGCCCACGGGCCGGAACTTATCAACCACTGACATAATTTAATCATTGGAATGGGAATATATCTGGTCAGCATTTGCCCCATCAATTCTCAGTACTCTTCCTATCTGGCGCCAACAGCGATACTAATAATAGGAACAAATATTTATTTAGGTTTCCTGTGTGCTGAACCCTTTTCTTAACACTTCACATGTATTAAATCATTTCATCACAGCAGAAACCTACTACCATTACCTCATGGAAAACGTGGCCAAGTGAAGTCACTTGCCCAAGATCAGGCAGCTGGTGGCAGCTGCAGAACTGAAACCCAGTTATCCGGCTCTGAGAGTCTGTGCCCTTGACTTACTGCCAGGCTAGGCAGCCCAGCAGGTCCTGCCGGCACAAACCAGACAGCAGATGATAAGCAGGCAGTGTGCTTCTCACCTCCTCTCAGCTACCGCACCCTACATAGTCTGACACATTCCAAGGGGCCAGGCACCAGGGAGCCAAAGTAGCAAAGGTCTCCAAGTGAGTGGAGTAAGAGGTGAGGTGGGAGATGACTAGACTGAGGCACCAATGACAGTAAAGTAACAGCTGGCTGTCTGACAAGAGCAAACAGGAAGTCTTTATTCCCTGAGAGACCAATGACTCAGTGCCAGGCCCTCCACAGGCTCCCCAACCTGCCCAGGCCTAGTTTCTCCATCAGGGGAGGTTTGGAAAAAGAAGTAGAACTTTCGCAGAATGTAATTTCCTCAAAAGTTGGAGCTGTCTTGAATGACTATCCAGCATTTTCAATCACTGGGGGGCCCGCCTCACTGAAGAATGCTGGCTTATAATGAGAACACAGAAATGAAATAACCCCTCAGAATTTTGGTACTCAGACCAAAACTAATGTTAACACACTGTTTCTAAGTAGGGTGTTATCTTTGCGTGACATGCAGGATGAGGCAGGATGGGTCATCTGTGGCCTTTTAGCACTTCAGAACTCAGAAGCGCTTCTGAATCGTTCTCCACATCATGAGAGTCATTGTGGATAACACTCCAGGGATTGAGGATGGTGTCTAGGAAACTGTCCTCCTAGTGGGAGCGTTATTTTCTATCCCTCCAATGGAAGTGACCACAAAGCTTTCAGGACCAATTCACTATTTTATTTTATACAGAACTGAAAAAGCTACCAGAGGTGTCCAGGCAAAAGCCAGAAGGAAAATCCTTTCTAGAACAGTCTACAAACACGCCAACTCTTCCTTTCATGCAGGTGCAGAACAAAGAAGTGAGTTGTTAGTTTGTTTAAGAGCCTGAATCTTGCTCTAACCCACGCCACAATCTATTCATTCCCACCCTAGCAAAAAACAAGCTAAGAACAACCCCCAACTCTGTATCTCAAGTCCAGCTAAAGACTCAAAGATGAACCCAGGGCATACAGCGACAGGGGTAGCAAAGACGGATCGATTTATGAGATCATCTTAAGTAACCATTTATTATCTATAATAATCGATTTTCTTTTTCCTTAGAGAAGAAAGTACAGAACAATCTTTGTGGGGAATAAATTTTATTACCAGCCCACATTTCTCAACTGTAGTTTAACTGACATTTGTGCCAGGTGGTTCCTGTTGTCGTTCTTTCCTGGGCAGGAAGGCGCTCAGCAGTACCCGAACCTCTTTACACAGATGCCAGAGGCACTTTTTCTCAGTTTTGACAACCCCCAATTTTTCAGACTTTGCCAAGCATCCCTGAAGCATGACGAAAACGAGGGTAGTGGGGGAGGGGGTGGAGAACCGCACCTCCAAAACTATATACTAAACTGAGACAAAATTCTAACTGTTTAAAGCCAAGACCATTGTTTGGGATTAAGTCAGCTTCCTGGAAGCAGACTAATTTAATTGTCCCTCAGCAGAGTTATCATTTTAGAACTAAAGAGGCAGCTGAACATGAGGTCAGAAAACCGCCAGCGGGAATTCTTGCCCTGGATGACAACTGTGGCTCTCACCAATGGACTTTTAAACATGCTCAGTGAAGGAGACATGAGAACATGAAATTAGAGTTACTGTGCTTTCTGGGAAGTCTTTAGGAGGAAGGATGTTCTGGAGCCCTAGAGACTGCTTCCTGTTATATACACACCCTTGTTTTTTTTATTTTTTATTTATTTATTTATTTATTTATTTTTTTTAGTCCAGGAGAGCATTCAGGTTTCAGAGGTGCATTTCTTTCATGAACAAGGACCTGATTTCCATTCCCCGCACACAAGGCCTCCCGCTCTCACTAAGCCTGAACATTGACCTGTTTGGCCCTATTGGCTGGAGACTGGCAAGAGGGACCATAGGGACCCCTGAACTACTGCTTGGGGAGTCTAACCTAAACTAATACTGAAAGCCCTCCCCCCACTACCTGCCCCCCCCCCAAAATCACATTTCCATACTAGGATCATCCAATCCACTAAACAAACTTCCCATCTTGAGTCTACATCCATATCTGGTGGCTTCTCTGTTACACCCTCCCTAGAGGAACTCTGGACTTCATCTTGAAAGGCCCAAGGGTTCCCCCACACTACCCAAGACTTTTTAAAAAATCCAGCTCAGCATGCCACCATGCATGCTTGTTTCTATTTTTGTGATTGGGTTATATCCAGCTGTATTCAGGACTTACTTCTGGCACTGTGCTCAGGGATCACTACTGGTGGTGCTGAAGGACCATATTTGGTGCTGGGGATTGAATCAGGGTCAGGCACATGCAAGGCAAGCACCTAAATTCCTGTACCATTTCTCCAGCCCAAGAATGCTATTGTCATCAAGAACTACATAAATAAAATTTATAGCAGCTCTGGCAGACATGCCCCTTTGCCAGCAAGCTGGGCACTGTCCACTGCGGGCACTGACCCCAGGTAAGAGGATGTGAAGAGCACTGTGCCCCCTTAGGCAATGGGAGCAGCCTCCCTTCAGTTCCCCAGGAGGAGATGCAGAGATCACTTGGCCAAGCGTCTGTTTGCAATGCTTTTCCCAGGAGGGTCTGTGAGTCTCAGAAACAAGCCAGGTCCTGAAGGAAGTGGTGACATGCCACCTTCCACATGCAAAGCGTGAAGGACTCTTTGTAGTGCAGCCTCTGTCTGGATGAGCAGGTACAGCCCAGCTAACAAGCAACCTAATCCTTGCATATTCTTGTTTACTCCTAAGCAGATTCCATTAAAGCCCTGGGCACTAGGTTTGATTGCTCTCTGGATCAAAGTTAAATTAAATTACCCAACAAGCTTCTTTTCAGAGACAGACATGCGTGCAGATGCACTCACCTTCCAGAAGCTATCCACTTTGCCATACACCAGAGACTGGTTCTGCCTTTTGATCTCATTGATGTGGTGGATGTCACTGGAGTTCAGGTGCTGCTCAACCACAAACCCCAGAAAGCTGTTGTCTGGGGTATGAGCTGATATAGAAAGGGAAAGACAAGACTGTTAGGCTCAAATCAGCAAGAAGAAACAATTACAGATTTAATGCACACCATCTCACACATCATTACATGTTTCCATTTTGCCCTGTTCTTTTCTTATCCGCGAGGGCTGAAGGGGGGTGCATGCTTGCACAGTCCACTAGCTAAGCCTTCACAAGTGAATAATTCTCTCCAGTTTTGATTAACCTGAAACACCTCTGCCTAAAAAAACTACATTACTCTCCATACTCTTCTTCCTGGGTCCTCAGCACAAGGCTACAGACAGAAATGCCGTCCTCTGAATTCTCCTAGCTAATGGGCAGGAATCTGGAGGCAGCAGGGCCAAATCAGTGTACCTTGAGAAGCACAAGGGGTGGAGGGGGGGTGAGGGGTTTGCTGGTGGTAGGCATCCGTTCATCCAGTTGGGAGAAAGGGCATTTGGGTAAAGATAAACAACATCACCCCAACCTTGCACCTCTACTAAGAATCACTAAAGACATATTTATTTTGGAGGTATGCTGGTCAGATGAATAGAATGAAGGCAGAATAAAAAGGGATGTTCAGTAGGGTGTAACCCCTTCATACTTCTCCCCCCCGCCAAGTGTCATAATATCCAAACTATAGGACAGATGGTTCAAAAAGACAGACCATTTTCTCTTGGGTCCCGAGACCTGTTTTCTCCCTGGGGTTCTGAAAGCGCTGTATTTTAACACCAATCAAATCTGGGAAAGCTGAACAAGACTTCTCAAATATTTGCACTTGTCATTTCATTTTAATTTGGGTATGTGCGTGTGTGTGTGGGGGGGGGGTCACACCTGGTTGTGTTCAGGACTCACTCCTAAGGGTACACACGGGACGATAGGTGGTACCAGGATCAAACATAGGTCAGCTGCATGCAAAGCATGGGTCTTAACCCTTCTATTACTTCTCCTGCCCCTGTGCCTGTCATTTTAAAAGGAATTTCATCAGCAGGTCACAATTAGAAAATGAAACAGAAGACCCTACTCTGAAACATTCAGTCCACGGTCGGTCTCAGGAGGGGCCCCAGCAGAGGTTCCCTGATACTAAAAGAAGCCACTACTTGCTTCTGGCCTTTGACAGGGCTGTAAACAATTTATGGAAACATGGCTCATAGCCACTATAACGCACCATCTTTCTAGGCAGATGGATGGTCAACAATGGGAGGAAGGGGATTCCTTTGTCCTTCTGGGGACTCACCCAGGAGCCCTTTCCCAGACAAGCAACCTCCTCAGAGGACCTGTAAGACAGGTCAGGGTGTGCCTGGAGCAAGGCCCTTAGCACCTGAAACCCGGCTCCCACAACCTGCCATGAAGAAGAGGGGGAGAAGGCTGGCAGGGGTCTGTGAGCTGTGGAGATGAACCAGCTATATAAATACGGGTGTTATCACCCTCTAGTCCCCCAGGCTTTTGCCTAATGGGGGTGACAGAAAGAGGAGATAATAGGGTGGTGACGGGGGAGTTGTGTTCGGTCTGGCCAATCTGTTATTTCATTTCTGCGTTTTTGAACAAGTGCCCAGAGGCAAGCAATGGTTGCAGTTGGCTGGGAAGTAAATTACTGAATAAATTCTACTGCCAACAAGAGGCAGTGGGGCTCCTTTCCTCCCTTTTTATGGAGCTGGGGGTGGGAAGGAAGCCTGCATGCATTCTAAATGTCCATAAGGCAGTTTAAAAACACCTCTTTGTAAAACTTATACTAAAAAGAATACAAACAAACCAACAATTGCAAGCCCGGACCCCAAATCCTGAGATCAAATTTTTTATCTTCAGAAAATCGATGTGACGGGCAAAGCTGTATATGTTTATTATATTTGTATATATTTGCCTCTGCAGCTCCTCTAGTTCCTGTATGGTCACTTCTTTTACATAAATGAAATAATTTAGCATCTAAACAACTGAACAGCTTTTATTTCATGTGACACTATAGTATTGAATAATCAAAGAAAAATGATTTTCCAGCTTCTTCTGCCATCCCAAGAAGTAAATCTAGAGGGATATACTTTGGATTTAAAGTCCCCTAGTTTACAGCTTGAATTGTAAGGGGGGGGGGGGGAGAAGTTGATGATTTATTCAGAAACCTCACAAGGAACTGTGTGGGTTCTCTGTGCTTTGTGCCTGCAGTTGGCTGCTAACTCAACTTCGACTTGCTAAAGAAAATAAATCATGTGGGCCGAAGCTCTTCTGAAGTTATTGTCCAAACACTATTTCAAGTCCTCTTACTTGGACTCTGAGGTGTGGACATGGGCGTTGCTAAGCTCTAAGCGCAGCTTAAAGATGCTGAGTGAGATTTCAGGAGAAATACAAGCGGCACTTCCAAAGGGCACAAAGACACGCGGGGCATACTGATGCAGTCGCAGTACCCTTGGTGTGGGGAGCAGGTGGCCACTCGGCTTCTCAGCCTTGCAGGTACTCCTGGACTCAGAATTGACCTTCAGCAGGGCAGAGGTTGCCTCCGAAGAGTGGGCAGCAGCTGGCTGCCTGAACTGCCAGACGGGGCACAAACAAGCATCCCCGAAGTTGCTTATCCTAAATCAAAGTCATATGACGCTCTGCAATTACCTTCCTGTAGAGATCGCACCTTGTCTTTTGCTCTCCCTTCAGAAGTAAACACAGGATTTAGTTGTGTTGAGAGAGAAGATATTTATACTTCAAGATAAATCAAAGAAATCCTATCACAAAAGACATGGGAAATCCCTTGCTTTTAGAAATCACTTTGTCCTGGAGATAAACAAATGAGATGTTTGAAAAATGGTTGATATCTGAGTTCGAACTAGGTGCTAGGTGCAGTGCTAGGTGTTCAAGAGTGATTGTTTCATTTTGCTCTGGCAGCTACATTTTGGCCTGTGTGTGTACAGATGAACAGATCCAGCTGAGCCACCCAGGCTGACAAGCTGGGAAAGGCCAACTTTAGGATTCAGAGCCAGATCAGATGGTTGCAGAGTAGCCGCTCCTGCAAGCATTGATATATGGCTTGCAGCCCAAGACATTTGTTTTTGGGCTCTAAGAATCACAGGGAAAAACATGCTTCAGAGGAAAATAATGCAGATATAAAGTAGACCAAAACACACAGGGCAAAATCAGAAACAAACAAACAAACACACACACACACACAGTATTACATTTGCTTCCTGAGTGACTTGCACTTTTGTATGTCTAAAAAGCTAATTGTTTCTTAAAAAATATGTTACAAAGTGAACATTTTCTAAAATTAAAAATGGCCTTAAAATAAGATAGGTCCATTTTTCTCCCTCATTAAGAAAAGCATTCTTTTAAGTATGTTGGAAACACCTATTTATAAAAGATTACAAATCAGCTTGATGAGTGTCCTGAGCAGATTAAAGCTACAATCAGTTGAGCTCGAATAATTCATTCACTAGCAAGTGTTGAGAGAGCTCTTCTCTAAGGCAGGTGCAACAGTAAGAATTTCAATATAATGATGAGTTTCTGTCCTCAGAGAGATTATTTAATTAATAAATGAGATATACATTATATCTGTGGAGCAGCAAGACTGTCCTTTTCCAGTGTAATTCAATTTTTATTTAAGTCAAATTACTCCTTTCAACTGCATACATCTCTGAGAATGAGTTTTCAACCTATTAGCTTCTAAGCATAAACACAAATATCTCTTGAACAGCCTGTCTTGCAGCTGTCCCTATAATGTTGAACATTACCGCCCCCCCCCACATTCCACCTGGTTGTCAAGGCAGAAACCCCAGAGTCAGCTAGATACCTCTCCCAGCACTAGTATCAGGGGGTGTCAGTCTCCCCACTTTTATCAACTCTTTTCCTCTTTTTATTTCCTTTGTTCTAGCCTCACCATTCTTGCCAAGACTTCTGCAATAAAACTGCTTTCTCTTCCCTAACAGAAATGGTCTGGGTAGTATCCTAATCACCACAGAAATATATCCGTAGTATAAAAACCTTTTATTCACAGAGAAAGGGAAAAAGGAAAGAAAATGTCTTCCATCACATCACCACCTAGAAATCACCATTATTAGTTGGCTTTTCTTTGGAATTTCTGTACTTTTTTTTCATCCTCAAATCAAAATCTAATCCTACTATACCTACTCTTTTGTGATCTTCTTCTCCTCACACAGTGTGCTATGGGACTCCTTCTGAGTTAATAGCCAGCACTCCTCACTGAGTGTTCAAGGAACACAATACCTCTGTGTTAAAGCTCATTCTGCAGATGGGAGGCCCCATTGTTCTGCTCTGCCAGCATCTTAGTGGAACTAACCACCCTTCCCCCAAACCATTCAATTGTTCTATTCCTGTAATTGGACAGTGAGAATCCCAAGTTCCCAAGTCTCCTCTCTCCAATGGCCCCCACCCCCACCCTCACCCAGGGATGAAGACACAATCCAGGTGACTCACCCTAATCAGGGGCTCAAAGACTCAAGAAAAGCCGGAGGTGATATATCTCAAGTGGTAGAACACAAGGACTAGAGGCCCTAAGTTTGATTCCTGGCACAACATGTTCCTTTAGGACACTGGTGGATGTCTTTACCCCCCAGCAGAACACTGTTGCCAGCCCAACCAGGCCCAGCATGGATGGTGTAACCCCTATTTAATTAAGAAAAAAAATCAAGAAACAGATTTATACTCCAAATCTGACAATTATAGTAGCTCTGTGAGTAGTCAGAACTACATTTGAAATCAGTGTCTTTCTGCTCCAGCTACTAAAGCAGGGGTAGAGATGTGTGCAGTGCTGTGGGCGTTATCTGTGTGTGCATGTGAGCTCGGCCTGCAAACGAGCCCAATGCAGATGTAGGCAAACATGCAATCTGAAGCGAATGAAAAGTACCTCCAGGTCTCCATGCCCTGTGGAAAGGCAGTCTCAACCATTTCCAGGGATAAGACCCATTTGGGAGCAATTCCAGCACACCTCACCATATGAAATTAATATCTAGTTCATGTCCCCAGTTCTCTAACAAATATATCACCTCATAATCTCTGCAGTGGATTCCTAGGTGGTTTCCA